CATTCCTGCAACAACTCTGGCACAGGAACACGCAGACATCGATGACCGATTTTACACATCAGAATACGTAACATGTTAAACTACCGGCACAGTCACCAGCGGGCAGATCAGCCTGGTCTGACTGAGAAACGGAGCTATAACAACACTCCATGTAACATAACGCGGCTGAACACGTCTGCTTATTTTAGTGTTGTTTTTCTCCCTGTCCTTGAACAAGGCTGCACTAAACAGAGTGACCACAAACCAGCATTATGCAAAGAACAATGGCTGGTTCGTACCACTTCCCGCCAACAACACTGGAAAATGTTTTAGGCGATTGCTCGCGAGCTACTCACTTAGAGATGCCGAGCGCCGTGATTTCTGCTGGATGTGCGTTGTCTTTGCGATCGAATGCTGTGTGCATAGTTAGTTTGCTTCTGAACACCAACTGACGCTCCCATCTGTATCCTGGAATGAGTGGGAAGTAGGAGTGGAAAAACAAAATTGGCTTGCTCTCATTTTTGTTCCCTCCTCCCCCAGCACACTTGTACGTGTGACTTTGTACAAAGAAAAAATCTCCCCCCAGAGAACGGTGACATACACAGGGAAGCCCTGTACCAAAGCCTGACAGGGCTGGGGTAGTTTCTTGTTTTATTAGTCAAGACTCAGATTTCCAACTGTCACTGATTTGCTTCATGAAAGCCCATACAATGCATGTTTTGGGAATGTGACTAAACCAGCATTGATGACATGTAACTGTTGTGGCTGCTGTTGAGCAGTACTTGCAGAGTGTCAGGGTTCTTTTTCCCCACTCTGCTCTGCCTCCCACCCCCTGCCAGGAGTTTGGAGGTGCACAGTAAGTTGGGAGGGAACACAAGCTAGACAGCCGACTCAAACTGACCAAAGGGATATTCTGCACAGTGTAACACCATGCTCAGCAATAAAACTGAGAGGGGGGAGTTTTGGGGAAGGCAGCCATTTGCTCAGAGACTGTCTGGCCACCACTCTGCTTGTGGGAGGTGGTGAGTGATTGCCTTTGCATCACTTGTTTTGTCTTCCTCTTCCCTTTGCTTATTAGAATACCCTTATCTCAAGTAACAAAGTTCCCTTGCTTTTGCTCTTTCTGTTCTCTCCACCATCCCACTGCAGGGGGTTGTGGTGGCAGTGAGCGGGTGACTTAGCTGCCCGTCAGGGTACACTGACCACAGGTTCTCAGGAAGGGCTTGAACCAACACACAGCCTTTGCACACCATTTTTTCTCTTCACTGACCATTTTGGAATTTATCAGCCAAACCTGCATAAAGCAGCATAGACAGAGAGAGACTGCCTTATGGGTCAGTGCTGACAGCACATTTATCTGACAGAGGAAGCCTGCCCAATTTCTTTTACCTGGTTTCAGCTTGCTGTAGTGCCGTGCTTCAGCATAGCCGGGGTGCGGGTGGTTAACCTGAGCATGGGGATGCATTTTTGCTTGTCCCTCAGAATAATTCACAAAGATAAAGCCATCTTTCTCATCCAAGCTGAGCTGGTCTGACCAGCGCCTGGAGTCATCAGAGCCGCTGTCTGCTGACCATGCTGCTGCTGCCCTGTTTGATGATGACCTAGGCCTGTGGCTGGTGCTGCTTGGTTGACTCTGGCTCTCCTGCAGTTTTGTGTCCTGGCCTATGCATGGATCATCTGCCTCGGAGTCACTGCTGTCCTCTTCGTGGGCTTCCTGCCCTAGATTCACCCAAGAGGAGAGAAGACGTTGTTAGCAAGGCTGCTTATAGCCTGAGCTTTTTCCCTATTCTGCTGCTCCACTACCTACAACCTAACAGGTACCACCACAGCGTGACCAGAAGGAAACTGCGCGCAGGCACCTCAAAGCCTTTGCAGAGATTCAGCTCCTGCCATTGTAAAAGGAATCACACTATTCATCTTTTTTGCACTGGTCTGTCAGAAAACAGCACTCCTTAACTGAAGCTACTTCCTACAATAGTCTGTTGGAGGTAGGCTATGACAGATGCAGTGAGTAAAATTTTTAAAAATGCTCAAAGCTAGCAAAAGCCAAATCCTGCTGCCTTTCAGCAAAACTTACACAAATAAGCACAATCAGGTATGCTGAAACTCGAGTTGACTGAGAAATATGATGCACATCTGTTAATAACAGGTTTTGTTAATAAAAAAGAGCAACTGCCAAAGATATTTATATTCCTAATAACACTGGAAAAAAAAAGAGATGTATTTATATAATAATTATTAACAAGCATCATGCAACCCATATCCAAATCCAGATCGTATCTTCAATTTGAAGCACGGACCAAAATATTCCAAGCAAGGGAAAACAATATGGCCAGCACTGCTTGTCTAAACAGCATGCTGTTCCATCAGTAGATTTTTAATTCTGCTGTTATAAGTTTATTTGAAAATTAAAAAATACCTAGCTTTTGCACAATGGGAGCATACATTGGGTTCACTGATAAAGGAAACAACCATACACAGAAAAGTTCAGTCTTCACAGAAAAAAAAGCTATGATGGGCATCGTTTCTTCTTACTCCTAGCAGTCTGAAACTACCATAAGCAAGGTGGTGAAAAAAGAACTCAGATGCTCTATTTATTATGCCCACTGGATGTCAATTGTCTTTTGACACACAATCCTCATTGTCCATTCTGCACTGTATAACCACAGGATTTTACTTAGGTATAGTAAAGATCAGATAAAAGGCAAATACAAAACACTTGTCAGGAGACATACCTATTTGTGCTTCCTGACAATCCTCTTGCATTTCCAGCATCTCCACAGGCTCTGGAGCTGGTGTTTCTGGTACTTGCAAAAACTCCATCCGCCAGAACTGGAGGGACAGAGGATAAGCAAAGTGGCGCATCCTGAACTCTTAGCTTTCTTCTGAGCTACCTCTAGAGTTAATATGGCTTATTAGAACTGTGTATTGGCACTGGTATAACGAGAGGCAGGTCACATCTCCATACTAAGCCCTGTTTTTGGGGACTAGATACTGTAAGAGGACATCTGTGTTCATGCCTCAATCACAAGTGAACAAGTCTTGTGCTGTTATTTAACAGCTTAGCTGTTAAAATAAAAAAATCCACTCCACATAGCAATCTGACCAGCAGACTCAGGACTGCACAGAGCTAAGTACTGAAAACTGGGTTAGACTAATGGTGATCAGAGATGCCACTAAGTTCCCCTTTTCTTTCTAGGTAGCAAAATGAATTGTTTCAAGCTATGTAGAACAAAAATGATGAATGAAAACTATGATCTCCAGGCATAAAACCTGGTGACCAAAACAGAGCAGGAAGGAAAATGTATGCTGCTGGCTACTGCTATTTACCACATCACAATGGGTGCACTGAAAAGGAGAAAGAAAACTGAAAGACTGCATAGGAATGTCAGCTCACTGAAAGCTTCCCATGGATCTTCTATGTCCATCTCTCTTGGGCACAGGATACAGTGCACCCTCCTGTGCAGAAAGGGCACAGCTGGTTCCAGCGCCAAAAGCAGTCTGCATTGTCTACCCAGCCTGGACTCCCTCCTTCCTGCAGGACTATTTGTTCAGGTGGAGCACCCAAGTATGGCAGGACTGCTTTTGGTACTGGCCAGGACACTGTGTTGGACAGACATGACTTCTCTAACTACTACTACTAAAGTATAAACTTATTTTTCCAAGCAGCGATCCCTGGTACTTACCCGAACAACTCCGTCCGAATGTCCCGTTACTATGACATTCTGGGTGTCCCACTCATTCATCTCTGACACAAAGCAACACATTATCTGCTGGCTTCGGCCAGTGAAAGTGTTTACACTTGCAGTAGGGCTGCCATTAATGCTCCATACATGGATGTAAGTGCCAGCACATGACACAATATCCCCCTGCAAAGACAAATAACACCTCCATATTTCAATACAAGCCTCAGGTTTTCTTCAGCAAAAATATAAGCCAGGTTCATTTATAAGCCAAGTTCAGCCATCGAGGCCGGCACTTTTCAGGAAGTTGTATTCAAGCTGAGTTTAGACTCCTAAAGAAACCCTAAATAAGGGATGACACGTGCTTTTTAAAAAATTGTACACAGAAAACCACACTTAGTAACAACGAATTTGTTGTATTTACAGCATACAATGAGTAGACCAATTCCTCCACTTCTCACAGCACAACAATCCAACAGCATATTTTCAGTGCTTTCCCTTCTCAGTTTTCAAAGGCTCTGCTCATTTTCACAAACATATACCACCTTAAATTTCATCTGCTTCCTCACGGGGAGGAGAGCAAGAGATGGTCCAAACTAGTGCAGAGGGGAATTGTGAGCTGCAGTCTAAAACACTGGTGACACTACAACCACCAGCCTACTAGCAGCTAATAAACTGTGCCTCTGGCTACACGTCCCCTCCTTGTGTTACAGCCCCATTTTGTCTTTATTTCAACTACTACATCTGCTCCAGTTGCAACATGGTCCCTCCAGCCCTGATGGACCTGCTACATAAGGTTTCAACTTAGGCAAATTCTTTGATGTGCGTGGGAGCTGGATAAATATCAACTCGTAACAGATAGGACCACCAGGGAGACAAGCTTTTTGGATATGTCTGTTTCCACTACAACTGTCACTGCAGCTTCATCCAAGGTATCTTCTGCTTCCTTTAAATTAAAGTGTAAGAGAACAGAAGTCAACCAAGGTCATATATAAAAATCTTTTTTGCACTGTTAATAAAGTCTTTCCGAGCTCAAGCTGCTCTAAAGGGAATAAACCCACGTATGTCTCTGGACAAAGACACAAATTATTGCTTAAATCAGCTAATTATTTTTCAGATGAGTTATACAAGTTTTGCCAAACTAACAGAAGAGCCTAGTTTGTTTTTCCTCGGTTTACCAATTTTTGACTCTTGCTGCTGTTCCTACTGCACATTGGTGAATGGTATTTGGTTCTTACCGTTAATTCATTTATACAGAGTGCTGAAACTGGAGCCCTGTGACCTCGAAGCTGTGTTAGAAAAGAGAGTTTATTCAAGTCCCAGATGATGCAGGTGCGATCCCGTGATCCACTCACAATTATGTGATAAGCTAGTGATGCTGTTAAGCATGTGACAGTGTCAGTATGACCCAGTAACGCCTGCAAAACAAAAGTTGGAGGAACAAGCTGCAATCAGGAGAGAGCACAAAAAAGACTGTATTTAGACCCACTTATCTGAAAATATTCACATAATGTAAACCTGAATATCCTATCAGAAGATGCAACTGACTTACAAGTATTCAGTTGGCAACTATTTTCATAATTGAAAATGACAGTAGTATTTTTTTCCATTTAAAAAGTACTCTCACAAAACCAAATTTCAAGGATCTAATGTTATATAGCCTTCTCCTGAAAGAACCCACAAAAGTACTTTTCCAACCCATTCTGCATCCCCCATCTGCATCAGTAGCCTATTTATAGGGTCAGTATGTGTTCCAGGCTGCACTTGAAATTACATTCTGAAAAGAGAAATTCTTCGTAAATATAAACCAGCTTCTTTATAAACTTCTGTTGATGGTTGAGAAAAGATAAAAAAAGACAAGAAAGAGTTGCAACCAAAAAGGCAAAGTCAACTGGAAGGAGGAGAAAATTACAAGCATCTACTTGTATCAGACCTTGCTTTTACATTTTTGGATTAACCTAATGATTGCAACAGGAGTCTGCAATACAGTCAGATTGTTGCAGCTTACTTGGTTACAAATCACTGGCTGAAGTACAGTAAATGGCCTTCAATATGCTGCCCTGAAATTCAAGATACGGTGTTTTTATCTTGCACTGTTCTTAAGTAAAAAGCTTTGGAAACAGCTTTGGACAGTTGTTGGTGACAATGCAAGGGAAGTTACTGAATAATTCTCTAAATTTCTTCTTTTAAGTTTGAGTGAAAGCTGTCCTCTGGAAAAAGTCCTGCAGTTAAGGTGCTAACAGGAGCAGTAAGACTTAGCAACCTAGCAACCTATAACAACGATACACAGCTTCTAGAATATTTTGAAGTAGCTGGGGGGAGAGTGTTTTGGTTTTTTTGAGGGTGGGTTTTCTGGGGTTTTTCGGGGTGGGCTAATGTGCGTATTTTTCTTTTTTTTTTTAGTAAACCCACAAGACTTACTCTGCACTTAGCTGCAACTGACTTCAAAGCACAAGTACTCATTTGTTAGATAAAAAGTTGATGTTTTGAATTAACAAAGCAAGAACCACTCAAGGTGATCCTGAACAAGAATACTCTGCTCCACAGACATCACTGCCAGAAAGAGCAAAGTTTTGCGCAGAAGTGCAAGTTAAATATATACATTTTTAAAGAAGAAAGTAATAAAAAAATAAAAAAGGAAAATGAACTTTTAAGACAGCCTCCTTCACTGCCCTCCCTGATGGTTTTGCGATGGGGTATTTTACATACAACACTGCAATAGAGCAGATGATTTCACAAAACACACCTGTATCATTTTCTTAACATCACTATTAAATTTCTAATTTCTCCAAAAAGCTCCTGGTGATCAACTATCCTTAAAAATGATGCAATTTTAAAGACGCATTTTGCCCACTATCACTGCAGATCAGTACCTCGACTAGTCAGTTCTCCAAAGGTCTGCTGCACTCATGGTTTCAAAGCTTACTATGTGAGCAATACTCCTTTCATAATTCATTTGATCTGGTAACATAATTCACATAAAAGGCACCTTTATTGTATTTTACCTGTTTCAGTGTGAGGGCTTTAGCTTTTTCTTTGGAGATGCCAATTTCCCACACACACACCGCTGTGCTTGTTCCTCCAGTGATAACTAGTTTGGGGTTGGGGCAAATGGCACACAGGATCTGACCCCATTCTGACAGACATTCATAAACAATTACTGCCTAAAAATAAAGAAAACAAAGAAGAATTACTGGCAAGATTAGTGTTTGGTAGGATAAAAATAAAAACCTGAGTGTCATCCTGCACGCTGGACCATTAAGTAACCAAGTTAGTTTGCCCTCAAACAGAAGCAATTCCAGCCCCTGCCATAAGGTGCCTCCTGAGAGAACGTGAGAGCTGAGCTTTAACTGCATAGATTTAATTCAGTCATGTTTTGCAGATCTGGTAAAAAAATTATTATTAATTGGTTCATATCATTCTGCCAGTGTTCTGATGAAGACCACCAGAGAGGGAGCAATAAAACACATGCTGTACAAGATTATTTAATTCACATGTGAAATCAATTTCCATTGTTAAGATTTTTTCACTATTGAGTATTAATTGCGTTTGGTACGTTCAGCACTGAAACAAATTTTAGATTACAAACCTTGTCAGACTCGTAGGTACCCAGTCTACAGCTGAGGTCTGCATAGCCCCAAGCAAAAGTTTTATTCCATGTGGGTGGGATGAGAACCTTATTCTGTTCTACTGCCAGAATGCCTTTATCAGTACACACGATCTGTCCTACAGGCTCCTTGAGCTCTAAAAAAGAAGATGGGGTTACGTTTTATTGCTAGCACAGACAAATACTGCCTGATCCCATTAAATACCTGATGTTCCGTAAAAGCAGGATCTCTGTATTGGCTGTGTTATACAAATCTTTCTTTCAACTGCAACAATGGCAACTTTTGCTACATTCCGAACAAATGCAGTGCTAAGCACCATCAGCAGTGCTGAGAACACCCTGAGCATCACAGATGGCTCTGATCCCACCTGTGATGCTGCACAAGGGTTCTTTAGACAAGATCTCTGTGGTCATTAAAAGTGATTGTACCATTTTCAGCACAAATAAAAGTAAGTTTTTGGTACTGATGTTAACATCTTGGCCAAGTGTTCCCACAAGCTACATTCCTGACAACTGCCCATGTTGTCCTACCTGGTTTTCCCCAAGCTTTGCAAATATAGTTTAGTGCTTTCTAATTTCCTGTCTTAGAGTGTAGCCCTGCTATGTCCTGTGTAATAGTACGTCCTTCTCTCTTTAGAGCAGGCAGGCACAGATCCATTTAACCAGCTAGGAAAGAAATCACTGTATAGCATTTACCTGCCTCACAGACAATTAACTTTTGTTCAGGCCAATGTCAGATATGAAGTCACAAACCACCTTTTTCATCTCAGTGTAGCTACCAATACCACCCTTTCCCGACAACATTTCTTAGTATTTCTTGGCACTGAGATAAAGGATCCCTCTGCTAGGAAAATCACAAAAATTGAGGCTACCACAGGCCCAGAAGCAACGTACCCTGAATTGTGTTTGGTAAATTAAAACTTTAGAGGTGCTTGGGCCCAATTTTATCCCTCTATTTTAAAAAAGTTATATTAAATCAGCAGAGATTTGGTGCTTCCCAAGTACACTTTAAGGTAGCTAAGGACATAATCTTACAGCATTAGGATATTTTAAATTTGTTTTTCTCACAAAATTACAGTATGATGGTTCTGGCTGGGACAGTTAGTTTTCTTCACAGTAGCTGGTATGGGGCCATGTTTTGGATTTGTGCTGAAAACAGTGTTGATAACGCAGAGAAGTTTTCGTTATTGCTGAGCAGAGCTTACAGAGTCAAGGCCTCTTCTGCTTCTCACACCACCCCACCAGTGAGGAGGCTGGGGGTGCACGAGAAGTTGAGAGGGGACACAGCTGGGACAGCTGACCCCAACTGACCAAAGGGATATTCCATGCCATATGATGTCATACTCATTATATAAAGCTGTCGAAGAAGAAGGAACGGGGGGACATTCAGAGTGACGGTGTTTGCCTTCCCCAGTGACCGCTATGCGTGGTGGAGCCCTGCTGTCCCAGAGATGGCCGAACACCTGCCTGCCCATGGGAAGTGGTGAATGAATTCCTTCTTTTGTTTTGCTTTGCTTGTGCGCGTGGCTTTCACTTTACTTGTTAAACTGTCTTTATCTCAGCCCACCAGTTTTCCCACTTTCACTCCTCCAATTCTCTCTCCCATTCCACAAGGGGAAGCAACTGAGCAGCTGCATGGTGTTTAGTTGCCAGCTGGGGTTAAAACCATGACATACAGGCATTAAAAACATTAGAACTAAGTAAAACATGGAAAAAGATGATCTTGCTAGAACTCTGAATGCTCTGGCAAAGAAACAGGAATAATTTCCATGGTTTTATAGTTTACCTTTCACTGGGGCAAGAGATGGTCGCAGGTTGTCCAAATGATGGAAAAAAATCTTGTCACTTGTAGAACCAGGGGGCACAGAGGTTCCCACAGCCTCTCCATTCAGTCGGCTTCTAACACGCTTTGGTGGGTGGGGTTTTTTAAACAGCTGAAATTCATCAAGAAATTATCATCAAAAATTACAGGCTCACAAGAGCATAAGCTTAAAAAGATCAGCAGTACATCCAATTTACCTTCTAAAAATTCTCCAGGTCAGCAAAATGTTACTTAACTGCTCTCAGTATTCACTAATAACTTATGGCACCCACTTCAATGAGACTTCAACAAATAATACAAAATCCAACAAGGATATAACAAGCAAAGTAATTTTAAAGCTACCTCCAATTGCAGAAGCAGTTGAAGTAAAGCTAGCAAAAATCCCCAAATTGATACATAACACAATATTAAATTCTAACCTAGCACAAACTGAAAGCTAATTTTTGGCTTTGAAATAAACTGTGTCCCACAAACAGCAGCTCACGCACTTGGAGACGGCCAGGCTACCTAAGAAGAGTAACAACATGGGCGGGCAAGTAATTGGACCGCATGTGAGACAAACACGCATGAGAAATGCATCGTAGCACCTGATTATCTTCTACCTAGCTCTTCATTACGAGTGACTGAATTTCCATTTTACCGCTTCCCTGACCATTCCTGGTGTCTCAGATAGTGTTAAACAAACCGATCATCCATCGCTTCTAGTAGGCCATAATCGTCAGTGACACACACTAAGGTTTATCACGTGATAAATTAATAATAAACATCTTGGATGGTAGATGCTATGTATTATAATATGTAAATGCCAAATACAAACATTGAGTGATATTTTGTAAGATTTCGATTACTTTGACAGAGAGGCTATTACAGCACTGAAAGGAGATCCGAAATTCCAAGGCTGAAAGTTATTTTCTTTCCACCCCTTTGAGATAGGTTACCTGTTTGCCTATCCAAAGCAGAGGGAACATGCATAAGCCTGAGGCAGCTGAGCTATGAGCGCACACACACACGTTTCTACTGCTTGCACCTACAGTCTGGGTACGAAGGGTAACAACAGGTCTATGTGCCACAGCTCTCCCTGAACTACAGCATGCCTCCCGTCTGGCTGGGCTATGAGAAGATGAAGAGAGAAGGCACATCATACAGTATTCACATGGACAACTGATCTCAAAAAACGTCAGTTCCAGCAAGAAAAATCAACCCCTCCTTTCTCCTTCGAGCGACTGTTCCTCTTGCTTACTTATTCTGCTCTGCCTCCACAGTCTGTGGCATCTTGGGACCCTTGCAGAGTCTGCAAGAGCCCTCTTCCAAATGCAGCACCAGCTCTGGAATGTTCTGCAGCACAACTTTTTAAAATGGGAAACAGAACTACCAGGAGCATTACTGGTGGAAGAGATGGGATAAAGAAGATGTAGCCCCCACATTACATCTCCATGCAGTAAAGGAGTGAAAAAGTGCACAGCAGCCACGTCACTGAGATAGCCTGCCCTAGATCCCCTGTGCAAAGTCAGAGGATCATAGCAAAACTCTACAGTTACATAAAAATGTGCTCCAAGAGCACTCACCACTAAAAATGATTTAAGGAAGGAGTTTTGAATTTCCCGAGTTTATTGCAGTCTGCCTATTTCCTCTAGCAAAGTGCCACACAATTTCTGGTAGATCTCATCATAGGTTTGAACCCAACAGGCATGTGAAAATTCAGGCAGACCTTCGGACTCAGCTGCAATGCTCTTCCAGTCTTTATTTCTTCACCAACTTTAGCTGGGCCATGTCTGATTATCATCACAACCCAGTGACTGATTATTACTTTAAGAGGAAAAAATGCCACAGCCACTACATATCTAGATCATTGAGAGAGAGTAAGGAAGGAAAAGGAGAAAAGATGAGCAGTTCTTAGCCTTCTTTCCAAGCAACAAGAGACAGAGTTGTTAGTGGGTCTCCACAGGAAATATCCCGTGGCTGTCCCAAAACGTTAAGTGCTGCTGTAGGCTGGAGTTCCCAATACATGGGTTGGGTTCCCAGTAAATTGCTGAAGGTATCTGTGGTTTCCACCAGATCCAGGATCAGAAAAAATCACCAATGACATTTAAAACTTTCACTAGACAGCAAAAAAACCCTAAAGAAATGCCTAATTAAAAAAAAAAAAAAGAGAGAGAGAAAGAAAGAAACCCTCAACCCCATAAAAAACCAAAAAACCCAAACAGTAAAACTTTTGATTTAATATTACATTTAATAATTTAATGTAATCTCTTAAAGAGAACACAAACTTTAAAGCTGCACCAAAAGTGTGTCTATATAGCTCCTTAACCATAGCTGTCCTACAAAAGTCAAATGTTCTTAATTTAAATTTTGAGGCTTTTTCCAACAGATTCTTCAAATAACAAGATGTAGCAAAGCCTTGCAGAATGCCAAGAGACTGATGTAAAAAAAAAGGAAGCGTAACTTATTATAGAAATTATTTTATTACTGGATAACTTAAAGTACCTAAACACTAGGCAATACTTTGAAGCTGCACTTTCACTGCTCCCTCCCCGTGACTTTGCAGCAGAAACTTTTTTTTATGATGATTTTTACAGTTGAACCATAAATCATTTTGCCTTTATTTTAAGGGTGCAAAAGGGAAAAAAAAAAGACATTTCTAATTTCACAAGCAAAGCCCAATGTTGATCTTCGTTGCATTTACAGTGGAAATGTAAATGATTTCATACCACTGGAAAAATATTTATGGAAAAACACTCCCACCAAGGTTTGCTCCTAAAACACCTTCCTGTTCTATATTAATACATTTCAATTCAAGTATCATCTGGCAAATAAGAATTCTACAAAGGGTATACCTGCTTTGGTATCTGTCCAAAGTTATTAATGAATCCTATGGTAGCTGTCTCTTTTAATGGATCATTGATGTTATATATGTCCACTTGCCCCTCATAGAAGAGATGGTGAAAGACATTTACAGCTTCTACTGCAGCAGGACCTTGCTGTTTATAGCCAAAGATCAAGTCAATCCACTCATGCAGATGTGCGCTCACAAAGTCACATTCCAGAGCCTGAAATTCAAAGGGCATGCATTAAAACTAGCCAGATTGGTCACTGGTTGAGTTTACTACACCTGCCACAAAGGAAAATGCAGAATATATTTTGACATAATCTTCTTACATTTGGATAAAGCTTTTCATTGAAGCAAGTCTTGCTTCAACATACTCCCTAGTCAAATAGGAAGGGGAGGAAACACTGCTTCTACAGACCTTCGCAACAATTAGCCATCAACCCAGAACTCATGGACTGGCTAGTAGCTGTGGCTACACAAATTTTGCTTAGATTAATATGCAGTCGAAGGTCCCAACTGATGTTTCCCAGTGTCATTATTAAAATGCAAATTACCTCCCGGTGAACTCTGATAAATTCACGAGGATCTCCTTTTGCCCATGGGGGGAGTATGACATCACCAAGTTTAGTGCCATTTTGTTTGCAACCTATTAAAAAAAAATAATAATTGGAGAGAAGTACTGAAACTGCACTGCAACAGAAACAGTGAAAAAAAAAAGTAATAAAAAAATCAAATTCTAGCACCTTTCATTTAAAAAGCAAGCCATTTCAGTTTTTCCTTTAAAATAGTGGTTTGTTTTTAGATGTCAGGCAATAAAATGTGAAAAGTTCTGACTTAGTTCATGTAAGATTGCTTGCAGGAGAAAGAATTCAAATATTCCTTGCTAAGACTTTTGAAGATGATGACAATATTTCAGCATACACTCCTCTAAACAAATATTACCCTTCTAGCTCGGGGCATTGATTAGATTACTCCTCCTCAGTCTCCACAACTTCATAATGTACAGTCTGAACTCAAAATCTTTATGCTTCCCCATCAAGTACTCTTGGAACATGATTATTTTGTCTTTATTTTTCTATTTAAGTAAATTTCTGCTTTTCTCTCCCCATCATGGGAAAGACCTACTGCAGTGCATGAAAGTTAATGACAACAAGAGCCAGTAAAATAGCCTTCTGCAATCACTGCACAACCAGAATCATGTTCTGTCAGTTTAGCTCGCACCTCAGCAGCCAACCCTGCTACCAGGAACTGCTACCCAGTTTTGGGTAGCAAAAATAGCAGCTGCCCATTTTCCATCTAGAGGAATCAGCACAGCAAGGTTCATTTTCTTATCTATTTTCGACTTCCTTGTTCTTATTCTATGAGGAAAACTGGAATAAATGTGCTAGCCCCAGTTTAAGAGAGGACATTATTTCCTGTATTTGGCACCTGTTTAGTGTGTATATAGCAATGGCATGTCAATTGAGTATATTTTGAAGAAAATAAACCTTAGTACGAGACAGAGTTAACAGCAAATTGTACTGAGAAGCCTTGGTAGAACAGTATCTCATCCCAGGATTTATTTTCTTCACAATGCAAACATTCTGTATCAAGAAATGGAATTATTGTTTTACCCATGAGGATGGCTACACATCACAGGAGTACAGGCTAAATATTCATTTCCTGACAGTGAACAGCTCACTGGTATCCTCCACAAGCTTCAGATTCAAGGACACCAGTGATTCCTCTGGGCCTGGTCTGGCCACATGCATTCACCTGGGTCCCAGATAGCTCCCTTCCCACTCTGAACATTAAATGATGGCATGCTGCGATTACTAAAAATTTATTTGTTAAGGCTTTCCAGTTATATTCTTGTTTTGTTGCTTGTTGCCAAAAGACAACTATTAGCTTAGAGGAACATCCACAATTTTCCAAGTTTACAGGGGTACACAAGTACTAAGTACATTGCTCCAAGAGAAACACTGCTTGCCTCACCAGACTTTGAATCCTCCTCTCTTTTTTTCTGGGAGGGAAAGGGAGTGGGATTGCTACAAATTAACACAATCAAAAATATCACACAGTGTTTGACAGTTGTTCATAACAAAACTTTTTCTACTGTTGTTCCAAATGCTCAAGGAAGAATTTCTAGGGCTCTGATGATCACAGTCCAAAATTACCATATATGGAGCTAAGTGGACAAGACCTCAACATTTTTCCTGTACTGGCCATACCCTTCTGTGTGAAATATACTTGGGAGAGGTTCTGCTGTGTGTTCCTTCAGTTTTGATTTGTTTTTGTAAGGTTGTGCTTCCAATCTCTTACAATACCTTTTGAATAAAGCATCTCAGGTCATTAAAGCCTACGACTTGTTTAATCTTTATTATTGCTATTAGATTCACAGCATAGAGGTCAGAAAATAAGGGCTTAATGCCACTGTTAAGAGTGACATACATGCTAAGGAACATGTATCTCCTATGGCAAATAAGTGTGAAATTTGACTCCTGTTGAGCACAAAAGCTAACTGAGACATTTCAACAAAACCTTTAGGAATACTTTAAGAGGAAGTTCTCAAAGCGAAGATCGTCAAACAGATTTTCATAAAGCTTAAAAAAATACGCGAAAAAGATGGTAACATCATAATGAAGTAGCTAGATACATGGAGAAAAATGCAAACCAGAGAAACTCCAAGTAAAACATGATCATCTGTGCCTTTTGAACTGGTAATAAACCAAATATTAACTAAACCACACCACTCCAAACAAAAATCCTTTCTGGGTATTTCAGTGTCTTGTTCAGCAATTCTCAGAACAAATTTTGCATTAACTGCTTAAAAAGAACACTCACGGCTTGAGAAAATTTCTTAAGTCTGATAAATCTGAAAAAATAAATC